ATGTGAAGAATAAACACCTCACCGAAATTCCGATCCAAGGATGCAATAGCTCTTTACGAGTAACCAGTTACATTAAGCTGAAAAACTTGATTTTTGCTGCTTTTGAAATTCTGTCTCGTTTCATGATATCTTTACTTTTTCTTCATTCCTTACTCAAAGGTTCCTAGCTTAAACTAATCAGAAGACTATCAGTTTAATAGAGGTCCAACTCAGCCCACATTCCGATTATTTATAAAGTACAACCAATACGGCCCACAAACTACAGATGAAGCGCAACCAACCGAGTTCAAGCGAAATCCTACACGGAACTATCGATGCGAACAAAATGAATGCTACACTGAAACAATTGCAACTGCATCGACATCACTGATCTGCTAACATTCCAAGGAGTCAAAACTTTTTCTAATTTTTTCCGGATTACTCCTTAACCAAGCCCTTGCACTGCTTTGATCTCAAATGAGTCTAAAGTCCATTGTCTCTTTTATACGGTACTGAAACGTGAATGCTTTCAAGTAAACTGTTTCAAATTTTTTCTTCATTAATCGGCAGCGGAGTCCTGACGTGGCACCGAGCCTTTTTCTACACAGGAAATTGATAGCAGCAAATTCATACTAGTACACCAAACATTAAGAATTAAGGCTAAAAGTACGTTCAGCTCGCTTCTGGATTAGCCGTTTTGGAAGAATGGTGCCGCCGTCGTGTAACTTGCAGAAGGAAAAAGGTTTGCTCGTCTTTCTCTGGAGATCATTTGAGGAGAGAGTGCAGAATCTACAGCAACCAGCATGACCGGAAAAACGATTTAATTAATTTTTAACTCCACTGCAGAAATGTTTTAACGTAATAACAAACAGATTTTGCCGGACCTTGAAAATTCTACAAAGACACATACACTTTCCAAGATATGTTAATTCAAAGCTGTTTGGTTGTTGCATTTTTTTAACAGGCTTCTTAGCCAAGTAATAAACAGTGGACAGTTGTTGTTACATATATGTTATATATATATATATATGTTATATGTGTGTGTGTGAGTGTGTGTGTGTGTTTGTGTGTG